CCCCAAAACCCCAAAACCCCAAAACCCCTAAGTTCTTTGAAGCCAAAATAATAAAATATTATAAATATTAAAATGTACAATGTTTATCGGTTTGAGAAGGAATCCAGCTATGATGATCAAAGCAATGTAACTGAAACCTTAAGCAAAAAAAGATCATTGACTCTTAAAAGTAATTATCTAATTTTCTAATTTTAGATTGAAATGATTGAATGTCACAGAACTACAGACAGAGAGTTGGATTATTCATAAAAAAGGTGAAATTTGTAAAATAATTACTTTTAGATGCTGGCTGATCCCCTTAGAGAAAATGATAACTACAATCCTGATTCAAACATCGAGCAAACTTAATTTCTAGGGAATAAATCTTTTAGATTTACTTCTAATAGCCTCGAGAGAGCTTAGGTAAACTCATATCCAATGATAAATTAATCTAGGAATCATAATATAAGAATTCATACTATGAAACAAACCCAAGTCTCTTGTTTACTGGTAAGACCTAAGAGCAACTTATGAACTTAAGGCCAAGGGAGCATGATAAAGAACTTGGTCCTGCATCATTTAGATATGGTACAAAAACAAGTATTGAAAGAATCTATGATACTTTATAAAAAAGGAATAACTCTTTAATAGAATAAAGTGAGATCTTGGATAAAAAGAAAATACGGAAGCTAAAAAATAAAATGGAAAATAATTATTCTTCGACCTTAGGAATAAATAATGAACTCAATATAACTCAAAGATCAAAAATGGTGAAAGGAGATATATTTCCTGAAATTGTTAAACCTTCTGATATAATACCTTCTCTTCATTAGAAGACTCATTTTAAAGCAGCAACATCGATATTTTTGAATCATTAAGGCTCTCTTGAGGACAAAGACAAATCAATTGAGAAATTACTAAATGATTTTTCAGTTAAAAGAAATCTCTAATAAATAATAACATCAGAGGGTCCTTAACTAGCTACTAATAAATTGAATCTATAGGCTTAAGCGCCTAGAATAAAGTTCAAGAATACTAAAACCCCAGATCCAATCAGAAATAGATCAAACCTGAATTAATCTCGAAATCAAAATGGTATATTGGAATCAGGAACTTACAATATTTAAAATAGGCACTCTGATAAGAGTGAGCTCATTAAAATGATATCTGATGAGAGTAAGACTATCAGCTCTAATATTGTCACGCAATAGATGCTAGTGAATTGCAAAGTTATGAGATCTAAAAACTTCAATGTTAATCCACTTATTGCAAAGTCAAAACTTACTAGCCTAATTTTACAGAAGCACGCCTAGAGAGAGATAAACAAGAGTACAGGCTAGAAATTAGATACGAGAAACAATAATAAAATACCTTTTGATATGAATAATACCCTATTTTGATAGAATTTAATATTTTTCCATGTAGGGGTTTTGGGGTTTTGGGGTTTTGGGG